TAAAGGCGAGGGACACGGGTAACCACGCCACGCCCTGGAGCGGTTGGGGACTCTGCCTTCAGGGATCTTCTATCGGCTATCGGGTTATTCTAGCCTAGGCTACCTGCAGGGCACTTCTAAAGGCAAGTTTTCTCCCCATCCCCCCGCCCTTCCCCCACCCATTTCTCTTCACCTCGTGTAGTTCTAACGAACGATGTGAGAAATGGCGGGGAAAAGCATGATTTAAATAGGCCTAAATTTTGGGGGCGGGGCTTAATTTCGCCTCATGCCTAGAAATCTTGCTGGGCCTTCCTATTGGTGGAGGCCGTATTGTTGGAGAAACACGGTATATATTTCATTTTTAAATTTGAAAGATATGTCTAAAATCACATACATACCCTATTAAGAAAAATTTATGTGATGTTGCTTGGATTATAAGGACCAAATTGAAGAGTGTATGGGAGGGTGGAGTGCAGTCAAAAGCCTGCATTTTTATATTTGCAGATAAAATGAAAAACTTCATTTTCGTATGTAAGAGTTTTGAGGAATGGACTAGATTTGGATTTATTTTTACTTATTTTATTTATTAAATTGGTATTTATTCCTATCACTTGTGCTCCATTCACCTCAACATTTTCCTGCTTTATATATCCAAAGTTTGATACTTTGGATAGATTCATGCCCCCCCCTAAGTCTTAATGTGATTTATTTCATCTTGTCTAGGCAAACTTTTTAAACAAGATTTGCAAATAGTAGATTATGATTTAATACAATAGATGGAGGCAGCATTGTATGTGGCCTATTTCACACATAATATGATTTATGCAATTTCATTAAGTTTGTTAATAAAAAAGAACACTGTAGTTTTAAAATATGAATTAGTAATTAGTAAATTGTTATCCATACTTGAGATTGATCATTGTATGAAGTATCACAAATTTATGAAACTAAAAGGATTTGTAAAGATAGAAATAATGCAAATTTATAGTTTTGGATTATAGATATGTGCAGGACCTGAAAAATAAACAGATTTTTTTTCTTGGTTTCTTCAAGTCAATTTGACTTCTGATGATATTTTTTTCAGAAGTGATTTTCCTTCGTTGTCTTCCTTGAGTTGAGAAAAAATGACTTGGTCCAGTCTGACTTTGTACCTTATGTAAGAATTAATAATCCCCCAGTTTCTAGCTTTGCTGCCTTAACAAATACACTGGACTGGCTCTCAAAATACTTAATGTCAAAAAACAAAACATCCTTCTGGATTGTACTTCATTGTTGTAGTTCACTTTTTGTAGCACCAATCAATAAGATACATGTCCTCATATGTCTCTAAACCACTCCAGGAAGTAAACTTGACATTTTCTAACATATTGTGAGATATTGGCAAACTCAAATATATCTAACTTTTTGGACAAAACATGTTCTGGGCAATTAAAATTTGCTGTTGCCTGACCTGAACCTTCTAAAATGTGTATGCTGTTGTTTTTAAAGCTAATTCTGATGTCTGCAACTATTGACTGTGAAGAGTTTGCCAACTATTTTGCACTACCAGTTCGCAACAAATTGTATCCAGCCTATGTATTTCAAGTGGAAGGAAAACCTCATGCGATTGAGAAATATTATCTGGATGATCTGAAGCCTGTCCTTAGTCACATTAAGGTATGGAATAACTAACTTTGTTTTATTTCTCATTGGATATCTGGAAGGAGGAGCTCTGCTGGCTCAGGGCTTACAATGCAGTACTGCAGGCAAACCCTGCCTATAACCTGGAATTTGATCTTGACTGAGCTCAAGGTTGACTCAGCCTTCCATCACGAGATCAGTAAAATGAGAATCCAGATTTTTTATCTAAAATATTTAGATAGGAGAGATGATTGAAATAGAGAATTTTCCCAATCAGTTTTGAAATTATTATTATTTGCGTATGGCTTTGTTACAGTAGCCAGAGACCACAGTGCAAGTGCAGAGTTATAGATTGGCTTGCCAAGGTACCAGCCCTGTTGTTGGACACACTTGCACACTTCCCAAGATGCGCCGTAGGAGGAAGAAGCTGAGGCACCCTGCCATACAGTGCTGTGACTCAAACCATTGGAGCAAAGGCTATCTCCAATATTATTAAGTCACTGAGCCATTGCTCCTCCAGTTTTGAAATCCTACTGGTTGTAAATCTAATGAGATTCCATACTATCAGTACTTGAGCTCATACACGTGCTATATGTCATGCACTGTTTCAACCAGGATTTCTTGAATAAACGATAGCCATTTAAGTTGAAATAAATAAATCTGAATTCATTGAGCAAGATATGCTAGTTACAAGTTATAATGGCTATTTTGTAAAATTCTCTTATAGGGGTTCATCTAGTATGATGCAGTTGAATGGTGCATCACACCAGATAATTGATTAATAGTTATAAAGTTATGTGTTAGGAATTACAGGAGGCAGTGAGAGATTATGATTGACTCTGTGTTCTAGGCAGAGAGAATAGGTTTGAATACACATTAAAAGAATAGAAACCCTTCGATAGGGTTTTGTCAATTATGTGTCAGCTTCAGTGAATAGTGTCAGGAGGGAACATTTAATAGTATCTGACATTTATGAAAGATTGTTGGTGATGGGTTGACAACTGTAAAAATAACCAGGATGTTTACTGGATGACCTTTTGCTGTTGGGTTAGATCTGTCAAATGTGCAATTGCCTCAAGGATAGATTAACTGGCATTCTCCAACCCTGGCATCCCTGTGAATGGGAGAGGAGGAATTTGGGGTTCCTGGCTTACTTTTTCTTTCAGTTATGTGAATTTCATCCTCATAATGTTTTTTTAAAATCTGGCTGCTGTGTATTTCTCCCCCCCCCACAACTGTTTCCTTAATAGCCACCTTTTTCTTTCCTTAATTGAGAATGAAAATTAGGATGCTATAGGTCAGTGGTTCTCAACCTCTGTGTTGAAACCCCTTTGGGGGTTGAATGACCCTTTCACAGGGGTCGCCTAAGACCATTGGAAAACACATATGGTCTTAGGAACCGAGCCATAATTTTATGGTTGGTGGGTCACCACAACATGAGGAACTGTATTAAAGGGTTGTGGCATTAGGAAAGTTGAAAACCACTGCTATAGATGATGGTTTTTGCTCTACAGCTCCACTGCAGTTTTAAAGGGGATTTGCTTGGAAAAGAAGGCTTTGCATTTCAGCTTGATTAAATGATGGTTTTCCAATTCTAAAAGGTAGAAATGAAGTCACAGTAGAACAGAATGAATTCAGAAATCCTGGTGCCAATGACAGTTGATTATATGAATATAATATCAGGCCTTGAGCCTGATATTGTGAAAAGAACAGTGGAAAGCAAGTTGTGTTGGGGGTATGGTGTAACAGAGCTAAACAAGCTTTTAAAGTCACATGCACCTTTTAACTATGTCCTTTGTTCCAGCAAGCCCACTAGAGATGAAATTTCCTTTCTCATGCTACCTTACCTGGTTTATTTATGCAAAATAAACCCACTTGAGGCATTGTGGCAACATCCTTAATGTGGCAAAAGCATATCACATGAAGCAGCCCTTAGAAATTATTCTGTACCCTTCTACACCAATATACAGGTAGTCTTCAACTTACTACAGTTCGTTTAGTGACTGTTCAAAGTTAAAATGACACTGAAAAATGTGAGTTATGACCATTTTTTCACACTTACGACTTCTGCAGTATCCCCATGATGTGATCAAAATTTAGATGCTTGGCAACTGTTTCTTATTTATGACTGTTGCTGTATCCCAGGATCATGTGATCGCTTTTTGTGATCTTCTGACAAGCAAAGTCAATGGGAAAGCCAGATGCACTTAACAACCAGGTTACTTAACTAGTCAACTATGGTGAGAAAGGTCGTAAAATGGGGCAAAATGCACTTAACAAGTATCTCACTTAACAACAGAAATTTGGGTTCAGTTGTGGTCGTAAGTCGAGGACTACCTGTATTCTGGATGGGAAAATACTGTATTAACAAATCAGCTGTAACATCTTATTCTTTGTCCTCAGCCAAATTCTTTCAAAATTTGCTCTTTGCATATTTATTTCTATTCCATTGCCTACAGTGAAGGAATGGCTTATGTAGAGCAAGAATGCCAGTAATGACTTTACTTTACTCTTTTTTCGTCTCTAGATTCCTCTTCAAATTAATGAGGACCCACTCATACACCCAGATATGTACAAAGCTGCAGTTGCTCTAATACAGTGGTTTGATGAGCTGGAGACAAAGGAAAATAGGTAAGGTATTTTCATCTTCATAGTTTCTATTTATTTTATTTTTTTATTTATTTTTGTCAATTGCTTACAAGGCAATAGGTATAAGTAAAAACATAGTTATGAATACATGGATACATATAAGAAAAATAAAAAATAAAAGAACAATAGGACAGGGACGGTAGGCACGTTGGTGCGCTTACGCACGCCCCCTACAGACCTCTTAGGAAAGGGTGAGGTCAATAGTAGACAGTCTAAGATTAAAGTTTTTGGGATTTGGGGAAGAAACCACAGAGTCAGGTAGAGTATTCCAGACATTGACCACTCTGTTGCTGAAGTTGTATTTCCTGCAATCAAGTTTGTTGTGATTCACCTTGAGTTTGTATCTATTGTTTGCTCTTGTGTTGTTATGGTTGAAGCTGCAGTATTCATTGACAGGTAGGACATTGCAATGTATGATTTTATGTACTATACTTAGATCAGACTGAAGGTGGCGTAGTTTTAGGTTTTCTAGGTCTAGAATTTTGAGTCTGGTGGCATAAGGTATTCTACAATGAGTAGAGGAGTAGAGAACTCTTGTGAAATATTTCTAGCCTTTCTCAACTGTGTTAATATCAGATACGTAATGTGGGTTCCAGATTGATGAGCTGTATTTGAATATTGGTCTAGCAAATGTTTTGTATGCTCTAGTTATTAGTGTAATATTACCAGAGAAAAAGCGATGTAGGATTAGGTTAAAAACTCTTAATGCCTTTTTGGCTATGTAGTTACAGTGGGCTCTAGCATTTAGGTCATTAGAGATGAGTGCTCCAAGATCCTTGACAGAGTTTGGATCATCAACAATGATCATCAGCATCATCTTGACTATTCAGCCTGTATTTTATTTTCTGATTTTTTTTTGCCAATATGTAGGACAGAGCATTTATTTGTTGAGATTTGAAGTTGCCATTTGCTTGACCATTCTGATACATGGTCAAGGTCTTTTTGAAGGATAGCAGTATTGTCTGTAGTGTTGAATAGCTTTACATCATCAGCAAAGAGAACACAGTTGCTCTTAATATGATCACAGAGGTCATATATTTAGAGTTGGTCCTCGAACAGCGCCTTGGAGGACACCACTGTTGACAGGTACGCAATTTGATAAGACACTCCCAATTTTGACCATTTGTTGTCTGTTTGACAGGAATGCTTCTATCCAGTTATGCAGGTGTCCAGAGATATTGTAAGATTTTAGTTTTAGGAGTAGTTTGTCATGTACCACTGAATCAAAGGCTTTACAGAAGTTTAGGTAGACTGCGTCTATTGCTTTGCCCTGATCGAGTTGTGTAGTCCATATGTTTTGCAGTGTAAGAGTTGCAGATTACATGATAGTTTTTTCCTGAAACCAAATTGTTTATTGGAGAGTAGGTTGTTTGTCTCTAAGTGGAGGATGATGGATTGGATAATAATTGATTCCATGACTTTACAGGTGACGCAGCATAAGGAGATTGGTCTGTAATTTTCAACTAGGCTGGGGTCTCCCTTTTTGAAGATGGGAATGACCATGGCTTGTGACCATAGTTTTGGCAAGGAGCTGGTCCTGAAAGATTTTTCAAAGATCATGCTTAGAGGTTCTGCTATGGCAGTGGATAGCTTTTTTAAGAAGTATGCACAGATTCTGTCCGGTCCAATAGATAGAGATGGTTTTAGAGTACATAGTGCTTTTTCAACATTGTCTTCTGTAAAATCGATATGTATTAGATCATTGTAGTTGTCTGTGGTTCGATTAGGAAATTCTGGGCTTGATCCATTGCTGTTTACAAATACTGAGCCAAAGAATGTGTTAAAGAGGTTGGCTTTAATAGTGTCGTTGTTGCAGTCTTTACCATTAGGTCCTTTCAGGGGTGGGATGGACCTTTTTTTTTTTTTTTGTAAATTTTATTTGAGTTTTCACAAAAAAATACAAATAAAACATCTTTTTTGAAAGTAGTGTAATCCCGAGTTACATTTCTTCGTACAGACACAAATTCAATTTCATGCTCATTTTTATGTTCTATTCCATATCTTATTACTGTTTTACATTTTCTACATAGCTTCTCCCCTCTTTAATATTCTCAGTTTTATTTTAATTACCTCATCTCAATTCAAATCATTATATTTATACTTTTTGTCTGTCCTGTTTCAATTTCCTTATTATCTTTTCTCATTAAACAAAGTTTCTCCTGTAGTTGCTGATTGGAGTATGACATCTTTATATCTTTTAAGTGTATCCATTTAACTCTTATTTAGGCTTCAATATATACCTTAAAGTTATAACATTCAATATAATACATAACTTCTATTCGGATTCTGCTTGGTACATTCTTAAAATACACACTATTTTCTTAAAAAAAAAAAGATTATAAATATATGTAATTAAAACAACACATTCCATTCCAATACAATTCTATCAGTAATATTCATTAAAATCTTAACTTCTTTAACATTACTTTTCAATTAAATATCATACTTCTATGGGAACAGTTATAAGCTTTCCATAATTAATTCCCCCCCTTCACTTATATTTTATAAAAAATTAACTAATTAAAATGTTCCCATCCCTTCCTAATTCAATTTTATCATTTATTTTATTTCATTTATTTTATTAACAAACATTTCACTAGATTACAGTAACTATTTTATCCCTCATTTTAATCATACATTGTTTCTAATTTTCTAAAATTATTTCTATTACTAATATAACAATACAATCTTATGTACCTTTGCAGAATCCCTTTTTCAGTTAAATTTTCACCCATTATCTCTAAATAGGCCCTATTTCTCTATATCTTGTTTCTGTCCTTTGTAACTTCTTTTCCTTTCCTTCTTCCCTCTCTTCTTCTCTCTCCCCTTTTTACCCCCTTGTCTCTACCTCTATTTCTCTCTTCTGTATTCCCCTCTTCTGTTGCTTTCCAATATTATACTTATTTTTTGAACTATTTTTTTCTTTGATTGTTTTTTTTAAGTCTTAAATTCTCCATTCTCTTTCCCCCCCCTTTCCTTTTTCTTCCCCACATAGAATTACTTGTTCATTAAGATAGCTTCTTTTTTGTCTCAGTCTTCTTGTTTTGCAGACGTTTCTTGTTGTTTCGCATAGTTTCAAAACTCCATTTCTAAGAATTGAAAAACAAAGCCAAAAGAACCTCTCCCTTCTTGTACATCTTCTTTGTACTTTTTAAGTTCCATTTTCAGTTCTTGTAAAAGTGGAGCCATTTTAAACAACCACCCGATTAATTTTAGTCATTCAAATGCAATAACCAAGAATCCAAAGATCACCATTAATCCAAATCCACGCAAGCTGTTTCTTTTTGTTTTTGTTTTCACTTTCTATTCCTGCGGTTCTGATATTTAGTTGCCAAGTTTCATTTAAAATGTATCTTTTAGAAGTCTTGTTGAAGTTTTACTGTAGATTCCTTTTAATTCCAGGCAGTCTCCTCCCTTTTTTCCAGATCCTGCCCTTTTATTCTTTTTCTCTCCTTCCCTGTTTATAAATTTTTTTTAGTGTCCAGAAATCTTTATTATCCCTTTGACATTTTGTTTTATTTTCAGCTTAATTGCCTGTTAATGTCAAAGTGGATTTTTCCCCCGATTTTTTATTAGGAAAAGTGTCTGGGACTCGTTTGTTGGTGAGGGCTAGCTTCCAGATGTCTGGTAGGCGGGAGGTATCGTCCCGTCTATTCATGTTATGGGGATGTTTCTCTATCTTGATGGCTTCCCTGATTATTCTCTTGCTGGAGTTTTCAGTGTTGGATATTAATTTGCTTCCTTCGAAATTAATTTCATGTCCTGTGGCTTTAAGGTGCTGGAAGAGGGAGGAAGTATTTTCTTCTCTTCTGACTGCGTTTTTGTGTTCTGCAATGCATGCATTTATTTTCCATAGAGCTGTCTCGAGTGTCCAGGTTGGGAGGAGCTCCAGTCTCGGCTCTTCCAGGCTGAGCTTGAAATTGAGGAACGCCCCCTCACCGTCACGTGGTCCTCGGGCGCTCCCCAGTTTTTTGCTCAGCCTCGTGGCTAACAGGCTGTTTTTCCCTTGCTCCGGTCATTCAGCATTCTAGGCCTCTCCTTCTCATCGCTTTCTACTGGATCACCGGCAGGCAGCGCAGGACTTCAGGTTTGAACTCCCCAGGGAGTGTTTTTTAACTTCCGAACTGTTTCCTTAGGGGGAGAAAACGAGCGCTTCGAGCGCTGCCCCCCCCACCGCTTCGTTTGCCGCCTAATCGCTCCGCGCGAGGCCGCTTCGTTCCTGCCTGCCTCTCCTCGCTTTAGCCGCCGTTCCCCCCCCGCGAACGCCTTCTAGCCCAGGGTACGCTTCCCTGGTTCTCCCAAAGGCTCTAATCTTCCCTGGGAGTTTACCGCCGCTGGGGCTGCCTCCGTTACTTGCGGCCTCCATCTCGGGCCCCCTGTGGCGTCCGCCATCTTGGGTGGGCCCTGGAACGGCCGCCATCTTGGGTGTGCCCTGGAACGGCCGCCAT